TCTATTGTGTATATGTACCACAACATCTTGTCTAATCGTCCACCAATGGACATGTAGGTTGCTTCCATGTCCTGGCTATTATAAACAGTGCTGCGATGAACATTGGGGTGCATGTGTCTCTTTCAGATCTGGTTTCTTCAGTGTGTATGCCCAGAAGTGGGATTGCTGGGTCATATGACAGTTCTATTTCCAGTTTTTTAAGAAATCTCTACACTGTTCTCCATAGTGGCTGTACTAGTTTGCATTCCCACCAACAGTGTAAGAGGGTTCCTTTTTCTCCACACCCTCTCCAGCATTTATTGCTTGTAGACTTTTGGATAGCAGCCATCCTGACTGGCGTGTAATGGTACCTCATTGTGGTTTTGATTTGCATTTCTCTGATAATGAGTGATGTTGAGCATCTTTTCATGTGTTTGTTAGCCATCTGTATGTCTTCTTTGGAGAAATGTCTGTTTAGTTCTTTGGCCCATTTTTTGATTGGGTTATTTATTTTTCTGGAGTTGAGCTGGAGGAGTTGCTTGTATATTTTTTAGATTAATCCTTTGTCTGTTGCTTCATTTGCTATTATTTTCTCCCAATCTGAGGGCTGTCTTTTCACCTTGCTTATAGTTTCCTTTGTTGTGCAAAAGCTTTTAAGTTTCATTAGGTCCCATTTGTTTATTTTTGCTTCTTTTTCCAATATTCTGGGAGGTGGGTCATAGAGGATCCTGCTGTGATTCATGTCGGAGAGTGTTTTGCTTATGTTCTCCTCTAGGAGTTTTATAGTTTCTGTTCTTACATTTAGATCTTTAATCCATTTTGAGTTTATTTTTGTGTATGGTGTTAGAAAGTATTCTAGTTTCATTCTTTTACAAGTGGTTGACCAGTTTTCCCAGCACCACTTGTTAAAGAGGTTGTCTTTTTTCCATTGTATATCCTTGCCTCCTTTGTCAAAGATAAGGTGTCCAAAAGTTCGTGGATTTATCTCTGGGCTTTCTATTTTGTTCCATTGTAGATCAGGGTTTCTAACCTTAGCACTAATTGACATTTCCAGCCTCGTAATCTTTTACAGTAGGGGACTGGAGGATGTATTTTTCGATTCATAGCAGCTTGTCTGGACTCTGCCCACTAGATGTCAGGAGCATGCTCTTTTCCACGTGTGACCCCGAATGTGCTCCCAGAATTTGCCAAATGTCCCCAGTTGGCAAATCACTAGTTGTGATCCACTGATGTATAGTAACACGGGGCTTGAAGTGCTTATGATTGAACCTCTTGAGTCTATGTTACTGGGGAACATATGCTCATATGCTCTGTTGCTCAGTCATTTCTGACTATTTGTGTCCCCGTGGACTGTAGTCTGCAGGAATTCGCTGTCTATGGGGTTTCCAAGGCAAGAATACTGGAGAGGCTTGCCATTCCCTTCTCCAGGGGATCTTCCCAACCCCAGGGATCGATCCCAGGTCTTCTGCATTGCAGGCAGTTTCTTCACTCTCTGAGCCACCAGACAAGCCCATTGTTGCCCTGAGAATAAGGTCATCAGTGCCATCTTTCTAGATTCCACATTCATGCATTGATATACATTGTTTGTTCTCTCTTTCTGACTTACTTCACTCTGTAAAATAGGCTCTAGGTTCGTCCACCTCATTAGTTCTGATTCAAATGTGTTCCATTTAATGGCTGAATAATAATAGTCTGTTGTATATATGTACCACGTCTACTTTATCCAATCATCTATTAATGGACATCTAGGTTGCTTCCATGTCCTAACTATTGTGAATAGTGCTGCAATGAACCTCGGTGTACATGTGTCTTTTCACTTATGGTTTCCAGTGGTCAGGTTTTAAAGAGATAATTTAGATAAGGAGGAATAATTGATAAGAATCTGGCAATCACCAAAAGAATAACCAAAAGAAGTGAAAGTAAATAGAAATGATGATGTTTTCGGAAAGTGTGAAAAGCGTGTTCAGTGGCAAAGTTTCCATCTTTTTGAGTATGCCTTACAGTTTATGAGCTGTAAGTGAATAAGAATGCCTAGGACTATTCTCCATGGAAAACAAGTCTTCACGGAAAGATAAAGTGATGAAAATGGAGGGAAGAATTATTGTTAAGAATCTAGCTATCACCAAAGAAAGGAGAAATAGAAGTGAAAGTAAATAGAAATGATGATGTTTTAGGAAACTGTGAATAGAGTTTTCAATGGGATAGCTTCCATCTTGGTGAGTATGCCTTGTAGTTTATGAACTGTAAATGAATAAGGATGTCCAGGCCGATTCTCCATGGAAAACAAGTCTTCCAGGAAAGATAAAGCGACGGAAGTAGAGGGAAGGTCTGTGAAGGGAGTGAGCATTATATTTGTCGATTATTTAAAATGGATCCGAGGACACAAGGGGAAAAGGTCCAAGAAGATTCAGTGTAGCAGAAGTAAGGTGAGTCTAGGTTCAAGGATTTTGAAGGAAACGATTTGTTCTTGAGAATATTTGATATAATTTCTATCCGCCCTCCCCCCACAACAAAACCCCATTTTTCTGACAGAGTTGCATGTCTCTAGCTGCAGACTGTGATCAACAAAGGATGTGAAGCCCTAGGAAATAATTTTTGCCTGGATAGCAAAGAAAGGACAGGCTAAGCATCATTGTACACAAATATTTCGATTCAACGACCTGGCAACTTGAACTGACAACATATCAGAAAGGAATAATAAAAGTATTCAGTTCAGGTCAGTTGCTCAGTTGTGTCCGACTCTTCGCGACCCCATGGACTGCAGCATGCCTGGCTTTCCTGTCCATCACGAACTCCCGAAGCTTACTCAAACTCATGTCCACTGAGTCAGTGGTGCCATCCAGCCATCTCATTCTCTGTCGTCCCCTCTCCTCCTGCCTTCAATCTTTCCCTGCATCAGGGACTTTTCCAATGAATCAGTTCTTCGTATCAGGTGGCCAAAATATTGGAGTTTCCGCTTCAGCATCTGTCCTGCCACTGAATATTCAGGACTGGTTTCCTTTAGGATGGGCTGGTTGGATCTCCTTGCAGTCCAAGGGACTCTCAAGAGTCTTCTCCAACATCACTGTTCAAAAGCATCAATCCTTTGGCACTCAGCTTTCTTCATAGTTCAACTCTTTTCCATACATAACTACTGGAAAAACCGTAGCTTTGACTCCCTGGACATTTGTCGACAAAGTCGTGTCTCTGCTTTTTAATATTCTGTCTAAGTTGGTCATAGCTTTTCTTCCAATGAGCAAGCGTCTCTTAGTTTCATAGCCATAGTCACCATCTGCAGCGATTTTGGAGCCCAAGAACATATATTGTCGGTCACTATTTCCGTTGTTTCCCCACCTATTTGCCAGCCATGACCTTAGTTTTCTGATTGTTGAGTTTTAAGCCAACTTTTTCACTCTGCTCTTTCACTTTCATCAAGAGGCGTTTTAGTTCTTCTTCATTTTCTGCCATAATGGTGGTGTCAGCTGCATATCTGATGTTATTGATATTTCTCCCAGAAAACTTGATTCCAGCTTATGTTTCATCCAACGTGGCATTTTGCATGATGTACTCTGCAGATAAGTTAAATAAGGAGTGTCACAATATACAGTATAATTGTTGCAGGAAAAGGGACCCCTTCCAGGGCCCAAAACCAGTCTCTTGTCTAACACTTGGAAATAAATTGTCCGAGCAGACACATGTGCTGACAAGGAAGAGATTTTATTGGGAAAGGGCACACGGGTCGAGAGCAGGAGGGTAAGGGAACTCAGGAGACGTGCTGTGCTGCGTGGCTCCCAGTCTTGGGTTTTATGGTGACGGGATTAGTTTCCTGGTGGTCTTTGGCCAGTCATTCTAATGCAGAGTCGTTCCTAGTGGCGCACGCATCGCTCAGCCAAGATGGATGCTAGCGAGAGGGATTCTGGGAAGTGGACGGACACGCGGTGCCTCCTTTCGACCTTTCGCCAGCTCTTCCGGTTGGTTGTGGCTTATTACCTCCGTGTTCCTTACCAGGCTCTCCTGTCTTGAAACAACTCCAGGGAATGGTTACTATGGTGCCTGGCCGGGGTGGGTGGTTTCAATCAGTGTGCTTCCCCTAACATAATGACAAGAAAAGTATGAATCCACCTTTATACAAAGTTGAGTTGCATTGAATTCTGAGTTATTGTAGTTATCTCAAGGCCAAAGAAACTGAGGCTGGAGAAAGACAAGTTCAAGAGAAAAGGACGAGGTGGCTGCCATTCCAAGGATGATTCTCAAGCAGTAAACCTTTCCTCCGTGACTGGATGAATGTGACCTTTGGTACTGTACACACACTTATCCCCGGCCAAGCCAAATACCTGGGAGCCATCTTTCAGGTTCCTCTTTCCATTCCCCTGCCATGCACGTCAGCAAGAAATAATATTGTTTCTTTCCAAGAAGACCACAGAGAATCTTGAAAAGATTTTTCCATGATGCAAGCAGATTGTGGGCAGTAGTGTTACTGGAGGAGGGAGCCAAAACTCCTTCTGGTCCCTTCTATGCTGTTCCTTTAGAAAACAGCATTTCTTGTTTGTTCTTTTATGCAAAGGCCTACTCTCTACATGTGGGAATAGTATGGTAACAAACTGATGTTCTTAGGACACTGGGAGAAGGTAAGATTAGAAACTGTGTAAACACAGGGAAAGGGGAACAATGCAAGGGGAGAGGCCTATGCAACCCAGGGATTGAACCCACATCTCCGGGGGCTCTTGCACTGCAGTCCAATTCTTTACCATTGAGCCACAGGGGAAGCCCATTTTTCCATGTGTATTTACAAATTGTGCTAAGCAATATTGCTGAATATTTACTTTAGACAAGTGCAAGCCCCCTCCCCCTTCCACCCCCCACCCCCCATCCCTCACCCCTCATCCCCCCACCCCCGCTCTTCTGGTGTCCATTAGTAGTTCTGTATATCTGAGGAAGCAACTTATTTTTCTTGGTAATACTTTCTTACCATCTCAAGGAAAAAACAGAGGTGATATGCTCTCGCATGAGCAAAAACCATGACTTCTTCCTGCACATTCCAGTAAAAGCCCTGCAATAATCTCAAGCCCCAGCTCCAGCATGCTGTCTCTCCTTGCTCCCAGGGCCTGTGTGCTACTTGGTTGCATTTTTGTTTCTTCAGCAGAAGTTTTCGGTCTCTCAGATCAATATCCACCTCTGTGGGATGAGAGTCCTGGTCAGTTCAGTGACTACAGTGTGGAGAATGGAAAGTACATTATTGATCCCTGGGTATACCCTAAGAGAATGGGCATGTATAAAATCCTCCTGAACAAGACAGCCAGTTATTTTGAAGAATTTGCACCAGATAATGAACAAAATATTTTATGGGGATTAGCTTTGCAGCATGGCTGGCAATTTGGATCAGGTAAGAATGATTTGTTTTTTACTCGAATGATTTTCCAATCTAACCATGTGGTAATTGGGAAATGGAACTCTGTATAAACCAATTTTTGAAAATCGATTTCTTTCTTTTCTTCTTTTCTCCTCATAACCATTAGTTTTCTACTTCTTCTCCTCCATAAATCTTTCTGGGTTGCCTGTTTTGATTTGAAACTGCAGTGAGGCATATAGTATAGTTGCCAAACACAAAAAGACTTCATTTCCAACATTTTGGGCATTCTACTTGAACTCCTACTAGATGCCGGATTCTATTCTAAGCACTGTGATGGACAAAACAGTCAAGAAGACATGCATTAAAAACAGAAGATGTCAAATTACTTTGAATTTCTTGAAGTTCTAACTATGATTACCTATACATGGAGATGGAGAGAGGCAAGAAAGGGACCTTGTTCATGAGGACGTTTCTCTGCAAAAGATCAATTCCTTTCAGAAATAAAGTACATTCTAGTGTTTAGTTAGCAGATATGTTTGGGCCAAAGGTTCATAAATTATAAGATATTTGGCTGACAGAAAGTCTTATGAAAGGGAGTGGTGTCTCTTGCACTCCATACTACAATACTACCGATAAGGAAATTTGTTCTGTTCTGTTGGTCCTTTATTGGACCGGAACCTCGTGGTCCAGAGTCGACAATGAAAAAGCAAAAGAAGGAAAGAGGCTAATATTCCCTGGCTTATGCAGCCAGCTTTCACACTCCAGGGAATCAGCCAGAAATAGAGAGAGAGAGAGAGAGAGAAAGAAAGACACGGGGACCCAAGCTCTGATGGAGCAAAGTTGTTTTTAATCAACATGATGTGGGCATATATACTGTCTTACAAGGTAGTTATTCTCAGCAAAGATAAAGATTAAAATTCCAGACTTACAAAACATAAGGCGATAAACAATCACTTTTCCCATATGGTTCTTAAAAAGGGAGAGGGTACTTATCACCGTATTGAAAAACTAAGGAAGGAAGTGCCTGGATTGCTCAGCCCCGGGGAAAGGGGGAAAGGAGTGCCTCTCCTCTTAATTCCTGAATATTCAGGAATTAATAAGGACCAGAGGATTCTCGACAGATCCAAAACAGCACACAGGAAGCCTCCTGTTAAATGCTTCCTGACAATTCCCCCTATTTTATTATATTTGTAAAAAAGGTCCTGACCAAATGAGTTTGGTTAGTATTAACCAACCTTATAGAAAGGCGACGATAAACAACAAATACAATTATCAAGACAATCACCGAAAGTTACAGTTCCAGACCCGATGCTGTGGGTAACACTTTGAAACCATCTTCATGGGTCTAGCCCGGATAATTTGTTCAGCTAAAGTTTCCAAATTAGTGCAAGAGGGCAGATGTTTAGAAAAAGTTTTAAAGATTTCCTTTTGCAGTAATTGTACATTCAGAGAGGCATTATCAAGTAAATGAAATTTGATTTGTTTCCAGTTGTAGGTAATATGATTGAAATGAACAGGAGTAACACAAAATTGGCAATTAATAAAAGTTACAGAATGTAAAGTCTTATTAAATTGTAAATTTCTTATGGCTACAACAGAAGGAAGTGGGACACAGGCCTGTATAAAATATGACTGATTATAGCAAAAGAAATAGTTACTATGACCACGACTGGTCCCTGTGAATTGTCCAGTCTAAGTCCCAAGTCCTTCGGTGCTGGCAGCAAGTTTCCATATGTCTCATTGTTCAGGCCCTATTTGTTTATCGAGGACGATTCGAGGGGGGGGGGGATGCCATTCAACTATCAAGCCAGCCAAGAAGTCCTTTGTCATGGTAACGTTTCAACGTAGTGTTAGTAACCTTTTACATAATGTTTTTTGTTCTTTCCCTAACACTTTCCCTAAAGTTTCAATAGTAAACATGGTTCACAGACAGAAAAAGGGCAGCAATGTCCGAAAGTCTACTTTTGTAGGCAGGACCAAAGTCCAAGTTTGTCAGCTGACGTTTATGCATAATTTTCCTGGGCCCAGGCACATTGGAAAGCCTAAAGAAATGTTAATTGGCTTTCCTTCTTCCCCAGGGTGTGAGGGTTCCAGGGAGGGGGCATATGGGTGGAGTCATTGGTTGATAGGATCGGTCTTTTCTCCATCTATTTTATGACCTGTAATAAAGGGGGATTGGGTAAGTAAACCCAGTTAAGTCTGATTTGTTAATCCAGCTCAAGTGGGAGTCGCGCAGGTCAGCATAGTGATAGGAAGGTTTTCAGGACTTTGAGGCATTTCCTGTTGAGAAACCAGATTTTTAAAATCTTGATTAGTAAGGGTTTTTATCTGTCCCCAAGTGGGGAGATCATAGGGTTGATGTCCCCGAGGGCGAGGCTTTCTGGAGATCTTTAGAGCCGCCATGGCCAGTATTGGAATTTCTTCCTCCTGGCATTTTTGTTGTTTTGTCTCCATTTTGAATGTCAGGGGCCTCCTTCGGTCGAATTTTCCGAGGAAAAAGTTTCTTGGATCCATCTGGGGAAATACAAGCATATCCCTTTCCATGTAAGATTAGTTTCCCACGTTTCCATTGTTTTGTTAACACGTCTTCGTACCAAATGGGCAGAGGAAGAGAAATGTCCTTCAACTCCTCGAAATGTCTTTATACTCTTGTTAAAATATTTCCCTGTGATAGGTTTAAAAATTTTTAAACAAATAAAGCTGTATTAGCAATAGTTATAGGTTTAGAAAATATCTTATGTTGGAATCTAGTAAAGTCTGCTTTAGATAAGGAAGACAGTAGTGTACCTGTGTATTCCCCCTTCTTTAATTTTTTTTATTTGTAACTTTAGTGCGTGATGTGTTTGTTCAACTATGCCTTGTGTCTGTTGATTATAAGGAATACCTGTTATATGTTTAATAGAAAAAGACTGTAAAAATTGTTTAAAGTGTCTAGAAATATAGGTAGGGCCATTGTTTTAATAGAACTAGGAGTTTATGGTGGAGGTTTCTATATTTTTTAACTCAAAAACTGAATATATAGAATCAGAGACTATATTAATGGGGTAAGAATGTAGGCAAATAACTTGAATAAGAGCATAAAATTCATTTTGTTGAGCAGAATGAAATTTAGTATAAAAGACTTTATATTTTTTAAGAGACCAGAATGAATCTTTGGCATTTTTAGTCCCATTTTATATAAAAGAAATGCAAGAAATAATAAATTCAGTGTTTTTGAAGAAATTCCACAGCTTACCAGGAGGATAATGAAATGAAATTTCTCCAAAATATTTTAGAAAAGCTAATTGGAAATTGGTAGAAGTTTGTAATGTGTTCTCAAATTGAGGTTTATTTGTAGTAAAGTTTTATTAAAGTATAAAGGAGATAGAGAAAGCTTCTGACATAGGTAACAGAAGGGGGCAGAAAGAGTGTCCCCTGCTAGTCTTTAGCCAGGTGTCATATAACTACTAGTAAAGTCAAGTCGCTCAGTCGTGTCCGACTCTTTGCAACCCCATGGACTGTAGCCTACCAGGCTCCTCTGTCCATGGGATTTTCCAGGCAAGAGTACTGGAGTAGGTTGCCATTTCCTTCTCCATATAACTACTAGCAGTCTGCTAATTAGAGAAAGGAAATGTCTCAAAACTGAAGAGAATAACACCAGGCCCCTCACCTACAACATGCATTTTGAGATAACCTTGGCACCAGGTGAGTTGTCTCGGGCCACAAAATTATTGACATGAATCTTGAAGAAAGGCAGGTGTCCAAGAAAATACAGTTTCATTAACGTAGCTTAAGACAAACGTTTCCATAAGAAAAGTTCATTGGTTAACTCAGGGTTTGAGAATAGTTAACTTCAAGTGAAACCAGGTGTCATTATGGTAACACAGTATTTTAAGAGAAACCTCCTTTTAATTTTGTATAGAGAAGGAGAAAAAAAAAAAAGAAATATCACTAGTTTGTTTCCTCCTGCTGCTTAAGAGAGATTAAAAATGTCTGACACTTGCAGCCTATTTTCTCCATTTGGAGACCCCTGGCCTTCCTGCCTGTTAAGTCAAACTAGATCGGCCAAGTAAAAGACCGAAGGTTTTTGGGGGCAGGGGTCCAGAAAGTCCGGTAGGTATTCTAGAGAGGACTGCTTGAGGGTAAAGGAGAAAGTCATTTAGGGCTGGTATATCAACAGCAGCACTGCCAAATGTTGAGGGTTTGAGGGAAAAGGTGGAATTTGCCCCTGGTTTTTGTTGAAGGGGACCTGGCGGGGGTGGGGGTGGGGGGTCTCCTACTTGGAGTTTCCTGGAATAGGTTTTCCTTCAATATCAAATTTAGATTGGCACTCTTTGGCCCAATGCATTTCTCTACAGCAGCGAGGGCAGATTTTTGGAGGGTTTTTGTTGTTGTTGTTGTTGTTTTTAATTCGCTTTCTTAGGGCAGTCCCTTTTTAAATGGTGCTTATCTCCACATGTAAAGCATCCATTGTTTTCCTTTTCTTAAGGCAGCAATGATTGTTTCAGCTAACATTTGCATCTTTTGAGTTTCTGATCCTATATTGCGACAAGCCTTCAAATAATCAAAAATTGTCCCTGTCTCACGAATTGGGGATATAGCACTTTGACATTCCTGATTTGCATTATCATAAGCAAGTAATTTCTCTAGTTGCCTTTTAGCTTCTTCTCCAATTACTGTATGGGAAATAGCAGTTTCTAATCTAGCTAAGAAATAAGCATACATTTCATTAGGTCCCTGCAATATTTTAGTGTAGCTACCTGTAGGCTCCCCTTGAGGAGTAATTTGATCCCAAGTTTCAAGGGCCTCTGTTTTTAATTGATCATGCAACAAAGGAGGGCATCGTATTTGAGCTTCTATGGCATCAAATTGTCCAGTGCCAGTTAACATTTCAAAAGTAATTTGGTTTTGGGGAGCGCCAGCTTGAGCATTTCTGTTAGCATGATCTCTGGCTATATCTTGAAACCACAGTGTCCATTGAAGATACTCTCCTGGTTTAAAGAGAGCTTTTATTAAAATTCACCAATCATAGTGAATAAAGGTTCCAATAGAAGACGCCATAGCATTTAGAATCTCTCTAGTAAAAGGCGAATGTGGGCCATACAAAGTTATGGCCTTTTTCACTTGTTGCATGTGAAAAAGGTTAATACCTTCATATTGAGGTGTTATTTGCCCTTGAACATCAACATTTCTTAAAACAGGAAAGGTGGAGAAACCTTCAGCTTCAGAGACTTGGGATTGCAAAGCCAGCAATTCAGAGAGCCTCTGTCAAGAAGGGAGTAGATTAAAGCTGTTTTCGGTTTTCAGTTAAAAGGTGTCTTAAGGAAGTCATCGTTAGAATCATTAGGTTCTATTGTGGGAGTGACTTTGGGATATGTGCCCTCCGGCAGGGGAGGAGCGCTTGGAGCAACCGGGGCAGGGTTGGTATAAAAATCCTGAAATATGATGTTCTAATTGGGCCTTTAGTAAAGTATCATCGTCTAATTCATATTCATGTAATGAGTGTTCTGCCTGTTGCCGAATATCAGGAGGGCTAGAATTACCTTGTAACGGCAGAATCACGGCTTCAATGAGAGACCACAGGGGCCAGAAATCTATCAGAATAGTTTTTCCCTGTCTGACTGCTCGTTCAACATTCTCTTTGACCTGATGCCAAATTTCTAAATCAAAACTACCTACATCAGGGAACCAAGGGTTACATTCAACCACTGTCTGAAGGCAAGCGTCTATTCGCTGACGTGAAACCGAAAATCCCTAAACTTTAAATAAGTGATAAAGTAAAATAGAAAAGAGAGGGGGCTTTCCAGCCGATTGACCTATGTCTTAATACTTACCAGCCTCAACAGGCCCTGTGGGGTCACTCCGTCCAAATCTTGCCACGTGTACCAGAGTACCTGTTTCTGGGCGAAACTTGTTGGTCTTTATTGGACCAGAACCTGGTGGTCCGGAGTGGACAATGCGAAAGTGAAAGACGGAAAGAGGCTAAATGTTTCCTGACACTGTTCTGATGAAAAAAAATATAGGGAGAAGATTATAGTTTATCTGAGATCTAGGGAGGAGTCACATGCAGGAGCTACTGAAGTTGGCTGTTCACCTACCTTTGTCAGGTGATGTCTTGAGACTCAAACCAGCTCTTTATCAGGCTTTTCTCAGAGTCAGAAAGATGGAGATCTAGGAGAAATCATTAGCACTATGGGAGGCATGCCAGTCTCAGGGGCCTAGGGGCCAGCAGTAGATGGAGGCTGAATGGGCTGGCAGATTAATGTTTTTCTTATTCTTTCATTATACTTACATATTACGATCAAGCCTGACTAAACTTACCTAATGATGGGCTTATATGTTTCCAGCATGCAGCTGTGGGGTGGGAGTACTTCAGACAGTTTCCTTGCCATCCAAGACCTTACAACACAATTAAAACAGAAAAGATATCAGAAATGAAACAATGAACAATAAATAACAACTCTTGGTTAAAAGTTAAAGTGCAAAACAAAGGGACACGGTGGAGTCAGATGGAGTGATCAGAAAAAAAATGGGTCTGAACTGAAATTTGAAATGTGAACAGAATTTCATTGGGAGAAAAAAGAAGTGAAATCTACTAGGGAATAAAAGTATGAACAAAAACTGGTTCTCAGGAGTGGCTGCACATTGAAAACAACTACAAAATTTTCAAAAATATCAAAGCCTAGGTCCACCGGCAGAAATTTGACTCTTATTTCAATAGTGTGGGAAATTAAGGTAAAAAACAATAGCATGGCACAAGTGTATGTGATTGGGTGCAGTGTGTGTGTGTGTGTGTGTGTGTGTTTGCCTTTGCAGTCTGAGGAACAATCAGGAAAATTCACACTTCTAATATTCATGCAGGTGAATAGTGTTAGCAAGTTCTTTAACGATCACTGTTTAATAACAATCAGGTCAGGAAAAAGAATAAATACAAAGGCAAATAATATTCAAAACAGATAATTCTAAAGTGGAATATTGTTGTGATGTTAGATGAAGGAAAAGAAATTGGTACTGAGATGGGAGATGAAGGTAAAGAGTGATAGGAAGAGAAACACAAGTCATGAGAAGATAAATGTTTGCGTTTCTTTGCAAACAAAATGCATTAGGCAAGGGATGATTATAACAAGTTTCAAAATGTGCATAGTAAATCATCTGTGCATCCTCTCTCTTCTAGGCAGATTGGTTGATCCCACCCGAACGACAGACTGTGGCTATGAATCTGGAGATCGTTTGTGCATCTCTGTGGACAGTTGGTGGGCTGGTATGTTCATTTATTAGTGAAATAAGTTAATAACCTTCCCCCAAAGAAAATATCCAAGTTAAAATCTTAGGGACAGAGACAAAACAAAAACAGCACTATTGCTCCATAAAAATGAATCCACTTCATCATGTATCTTGCGGCCTTTATGTCACATTCTAGGATTTAATGGCCACAATTTCAATAATGATTCTTTAGGACATATTTTACCCAGGGACTGAAACAAGGAACTGCAAAAGACAATGGCTTTTGAATGGCCAGCACTGGTGTTAGATGGGAGGTCCCACTAATCAGAGAAGTCTCGAGGACCAGGAAGGATGAAAAAAGAGAGAACAAGAAAATAATACTTTTTTTTTTTTTTTCATTTTGCTCAGACCAAATGTATTTAACTTGGAAACTTGTAAAAATGTCAGAGATTAATGTATTACAAATCATTCTATCAATTAGTAATCTAAGGCTTCTGTCAGATATTTAATCGTTAAATAATCAGAAGGTATTTTCTAAGTCTTTAATTTTATCTTGTGTGTTAGTGATGAAATTAATTTACACACAGTTTCTTTGAGATATTTCCCATTAATTAGAAACAAGGTCACATTTACTTTCACTTTATTAGAGTGACACACATCATAGACATCTTCACTTATTTTTCTTGTATGGTGAGTCTTTTCAAAGACTCAGAAATTGTCATGGCCACAGATCTAGAATTTAGGCTTCTTTTTTCTCACATGAACTCCAATAGTTTAGAATATCAGCCTGCTACCCTGGGGCGGAGGACTGCATTCAAAATGCATGTCTATGATGAAAAGTGTTCTGCATCACCGCTGGTAATCAGTACAAGTTTTACAATCAACTATATAAGTATGTCTAAATTTGCTGGTATAGGTTCTATTTAGAGAGCAATTTAAAAATCTTAATTCAATGTTAATTTAATTATCTAAAGATTTGTTGCCAACACTGAGCCAACATTTTTGCTTCAAAGACTTAATGTGAGACAAGCACTTCACAATGTCATGGTTGTACATTAAACATAACATACAAAATATCAACACTGTAAGCATATTAAGATAATTTAGAAAAAAGTCACATTTCATGGTAAAATCTCAGAAGTGTATCATTCTATGCACAAGTAGATATCTTTCTTCCATTTTTACATAATGCTTTGAAAAAAATGAATGATACCAAATTCATTAAAATTACTTCTTGTGTTTTAAAATATTGTAGACAACTATTTGCTTCCCTGATGTCTCAGTGGGTAAAGAGTGTGCCTGCAATACAAGAGACAATGGGAGACACGGGTTTGATCCCTGGGTTGGGAAGATCCTCTGGAGAAGGGAATGGCAAGGCACTCCAGGATTCTTGCCTGGGAAATCCCATGGACAGAGGAGCCTGGCGGGCTACAGTCCAAAATGTCCCAGAGAGTCGGCACCACTGAGTGGCAGCAGCAGCAGCACTCGACTATTTTAGCCCATATTCATGTCTAATTGTAGGGTTATTAACAGAAATGAGATAGACTTATGTATATGATCCTTAGGGAGATTTTCAATATTTTGTGGTGACTTTTTTCATATGTTTCTGCATCTGTGACTTTTTGCTTAATGGCTTCAGTTCAGTTCAGTTCAGTCGCTCAGTCGTGTCCGACTCTTTGTGACCCCATGAATCGCAGCACGTCAGGCCTCCCTGTCCATCACCAACTCTCGGAGCTACCCAAACCCATGTCCATCGAGTCGGTGATGCCATCCAACCATCTCATCCTCTGTCATCCCCTTCTCCTCCTGCCCCCAATCCTTCCCAGCATTAGGGCCTCTCCCAATGAGTCAGCTCTTCACATGAGGTGGCCAAAGTATTAGAGTTTCAGCTTCAACATCAGTCCTTCCAATGAATACCCAGGACTGATCTCCTTTAGGATGGACTGGTTGGATCTCCTTGCAGTCCAAGGGACTCTCAAGAGTCTTCTCCAACACCACAGTTCAAAAGTATCAATTCTTTGGCGCTCAGCTTTCTTCACAGTCCAACTCTCACATCCATACATGACCACTGGAAAAACCATAGCCTTAACTAGACAGACCTTTGTTGGCAAAGTAATGTCTCTGCTTTTAAATATGCTATCCAGCTTGGTCATAACTTTCCTTCCAAGGAGTAAGTGTCTTTTAATTTCATGGCTGCAATCACCATCTGCAGTGATTTTGAGCCCCAAAAAATAAAGTCTGACACTGTTTCCACTGTTTTCCCATCTATTTCCCATGAAGTGATGGAACCAGATGCCATGATCTTAGTGTTCTGAATGTTGAGCTTTAAGCCAACTTTTTCACTCTCCTTCACTTTCATCAAGAGGCTCTTTAGTTCCTCTTCAGTCTCTGCCAGAAGGGTGGTGTCATCTGCATATCTGAGGTTATTGATATTTCTCCCAGCAATCTTGATTCCAGCTTGTGCTTCTTCCAGCCTGTTTCTCATGATGTACTCCGCATATAAGTTAAATAAGCAGGGTGACAATATAGAGCTTTGACGTACTCCTTTTCCTATTTGGAACCAGTCTGTTGGCCCATGTCCAGTTCTAACTGTTGCTTCCTGACCTGCATACCGGTTTCTCAAGAGACAGGTCAGATGGTCTGGTATTCCCATCTCTTTCAGAATTTTCCAGTTTATTGTGATCCACACATTCAAAGGCTTTGGCATAGTCAATAAAGCAGAAATAGATGTTTTTCTGGAACTCTCTTGCTTTTTCGATGATCCAGCAGATGTTGGCAATTTGATCTCTGGTTCCTCTGCCTTTTCTAAAACCAGCTTGAACATCTGGAAGTTCACAGTTCACATATTGCTGAAGCCTTGCTTGGAGAACTTTGAGCATTACTTTACTAGCATGTGAGATGAGTGCAATTGTGCGGCTTACAGATTACTTAAAAATATCCTCTATCGTATTTGTTGGCGCTTGTGGTAATGATAGGTATCTTCTCTTACAGATTTGAATTACTTCCTGTGTGCACTGCCGTTCCTCGCTGCGGTGGATGCTGGCATAATGGGGATATCATCAGACCAAGTGCTGCTTGCGCCGCCACCCAAGGACCAGACAAAGTTCTGTCTCAGTTCTTCTAGTTGTCAGTTGTCCTATCCTTCGACGATGAGGAAGTGGCATGCCTTTTACAAGGTGCCTTTTTCAAGTTTTATTATTTAATCTCTCAGGAGGTGGTAAGAGAGTTTCTCTTTTTTTTTGGAATATAATCACCTTACAATGTTCTGCTAGTTTCTGCCATACAACACTGTGAATCAGCTATATGCATACACACACACACACACACACACACACACACACATATATACACACACACATATACACACACACACATACACACACACACACACACACACACACACACATATACACACAGGGGCTTCCCTGGTGGCTCAGAGAGCACAGAATCTGCCTGCAATGCAGGAGACACAGGAGACATGGGTTCAACCCCTGGGTTGGAAAGATTCCCTGGAGGAGGAAATGGCAACCCCCTCCAGTATTATTGCCTGGGGAATTCAATGGATAAAGGAGCCTCTATCATAGCCTGGCGGGCTACAGTCCATGGCATCAGAAAGAGTAGGACACGACTGAGCACTTATGCACATGCACATGCTATGCACATATCCTCCTCCTCCTGAGCCTCCCTCGCCCCTTTCCACTCTTCTAGATCATCGTAGAGCACTGAACTGAGCTCCTTGTGCTATATAGCAGTTTCCCACTAACTATGTATTTTTACACCTGATAGTGAATAATGTTCTCTCAATGTGTCCCCCTTTCTCCATCTCCTGCTGTGTCCACAAGTCCATTCTCTACATCTGCGCCTCTATTCCTGCCCTGTAAATAGGTTCATCAGTACCATTTTTCTAGATTCCACGTATATGTGTAATGTTTTGTTTAGGTTTCTGTGTGTAGTATATGGTATAAAAATACAAGTTTTTATGCGAGTTATATTAATTTCATTACTTTATGGGTTTCCCTTGTGGCTCACAGTAAAGAATCTGCCTGTGATGCAGGAGACATGTGTTCTGTCCCTGGGTCAGGAAGATCCCCTGGAGAAGGGAATGACTACCCACTCCAGTATTCTTGCCTGGAGAATCCCATGGACAGAGGATCCTGGCGGGCTACAGTCTATGGCGTTGCAGAGAGTTGGACATGACTGAGCGACTACCATTTTAACTTTCTTTCATTTTCATTCCATGACATCAAGGCATTACATGTCATGTACATCCTCTGAACCAACACAGCATTAACAGCAAATCTATCCACTCACCTCACTCTAAATAAGCCATACATAAATGTGAGAGCACACACTGAATGAAAAGATTATTCTGGTAAATTGAACCTTCAGATCAAGTGAGCAATAACACATGGGAGAAATATGATTATGGGGCTGGATTTAGAATAGTTAGTTTACTTCTTTCAAACGATTTGATAAGTGGTCACAAATAGGTATATCTAAACTATTATGTGGCAATCAAAACCACATATTCAATGACCAAACTAAAATACATTGGTTAAGCATAGTCATGGACCAAAATCAATGCAAAAAGACATATTTACTAGTTCTGTAGACTGTTAGTTCATTTTTAAAGATTTGATTAAGTTATATATTCTTGTAATTTCCACCTTTTCTTAAACTTTTGTGGTAATTTCAACTATGGCGGCAGAAAAACAGCTGATAAACAAAAAATAAAGTTCTCTTGGGGTTTGACAGAAACAACAAAATTCTGTAAGGCAATTATCCTTCAATAAAAAAATAAATTTAAAAAGATACTGACTTTGGGGGAAAAGTGCAGTTCGTCTCTTATAGGTACATGCAGTATTACTCATAATCTGCTCTTAATCATTATTTTAGTCTTTACAGATTGTTCGCCACTAACGGCTTGTGCAAATTAATCCATAGAAACAAAATTCTCCTATGATGTAGACTATTGCTAAATTGGAAATGTGGACAAAGTGAAATTGTAAAGAGAATTGTTCTAGTTGCACAAACATGAATACATTTCTTCCCTCTACTTTAGCATTTGCAATCACCTTCTATTAGCTTCGAGGACTTGTTGAAGTACATGTGGGAGGCACACGTCTCAAGCTTGAATGTTGGTTACAAAATTTTTGAAGACAGGTAAGCATGGATCCCAGTTACCTCTACTTAATATGGCAAATAATTTTTGGCCTTATCCATTTTTATTTCCTAATATCAGTCTTCTTATTAAATATTATATTTAATCACTGGGGATTAGTTATCTATATCATCCAAGGCAGGCACTCAAGCCATCACATTCTAAAACTAAAAATTACATTCTTAGTTTGTTGACAAAGGTGATCTTTTTAAGAAAATGACAAGGGTGCCATTCTGAGTGACAAATGATAACCGTACATGTTTCTGCTTGTCTTTTAGGTTTGAATATTATTCTAAACCAGAAGCGGGTTTTGGGAAAGATTGGAGCATGTTTGTGGACTATATAGCTGCTGCCAACTTTCCCACGATCTTCAGTACAGTATCTGTGTTCCAGAAGGCCCTGCCACCACGAGTGCTTGTGGATGGGGACAGAGCTCCCTTTATCAGAGACTTTACTGACACTCAGAACATAGTCCTGCTTGGTCTAAATCTTGTTGGTGAAGTGGATAGAGCAACAGGTAAAGGCTTATAAACAATTCCTTTAATCAATATCACGTTGAATAGAGAAAGGAAGAAATAATGATGATCAGAGATACCTGTTGTCATAACACATACTCTAAAGAAACCAGAGCCATTCTGGTCCGAGGACTAGAACAGTCATTAACAAGGGTTGGACTGATCATGCATGTAGTTACTGTTTAAACTTTTAGCTTAAGAAAGGGAGGCAATCACGCATGTAAAGCAAGGATAAGGCAGTGTGGAGTGGGGCAAGCAATGCTCAGACAGAAAGACAGCAGCCATCTTACGGGCCCTGACCATACAGGTCCTTATTGACCCATGAAGCTACCAGACTATCTCATGTACTTTTTTCATCTACAAACCCAGATGTATTCTTTCTCTTGTTGTTGTTACAGTATTTTTTTTAAAGCCTTAATGTCACTCTTAAATTTAGAAAAAAAAGAAAAACCTACCATGATTAATGAGAAAACTAGCAAACTAACTTATATGAGTTCCCTTTACCAACCTTACTAGTCATAGCAGAAGTATTCTGCTTCAGCCCCTCAATTGCAGAGTTTCTTAGCAGAGTGAAAAAAAGAAATCTGTAATTGCAAGATTGAATTACTACATCATCCCAGTTTTCCAGACAGGCACTTATGCAGTGTACCAAACTTAAAACAAAATTAAGATATTAGTATTTTTAAAAACAAAAAAAAAAAAAATTAAAGCTTTTTTTTTTTTTTGAGCAGACCATTTTTAAAGCCTTTATTGAATGTGTTACAATATTGTTTCTATTTTACATTTTGTCTTTTTGGCCATGAGGCATGTGGGATTCTACCTCCCCGACTGGGGATCAAATCCACACTCCCTTCATTGGAAGGCAAAGTCTTAACCGCTGGACTGCCATGGAAGTCCCCAAATGTTAGTATTTTTAAAACAACAACAAAAAATGAGTCTGAAAGATATAAAAGATATGAAATCAAAGTAAACTTTAAACTATATGCTTCCGAAATCTCGTTTGCATTAGGTACAATAACAAACCCGAACATTTTAGGGGCTTCATGCAACTGAAGTCTCTTCTTGCTTACTCCAATAATGGTTCCAGGGCAGTGTTCTCAGTCACTGGCAGCTCTCCTTCACACAATGCTGGCTGAAGATGCTTTCATCTCTAGCTCTTCCAACCCCCAACCTCTGCATTATTCACATCTCACCAACAGAGAGATACTGTGTTGGAGAAAGTCTTGACTCTTCCTTAACTTCATCTCATACTCTGCTGGTATGACCTAGTCACATTATCCCATATTTGGATGCGGGGGGGTGGGGGGGCGGCTAAGGAATTAAATTGTTGCCTAAGAAAAGTTTTGTGTGACAAATCTACTCCATGAAAGGAAATGCATATGTTTTAGGATCTGCCTAGCCGTCTCTGTCAAATGATCACATAGCATAATTGTATTCTAGACCTGCATCATATAGACTGGCTCTTCCCTGCTAAGATTAAAGGGCAAAGAACTGAGTCAAGAATTGAAGGTCCTTGAAAGCTGGGAAGGCCTATACTGCAATGTTTTGACAAGATACGATTTTTCCAAAATTTAGCTTTGAATTTAATATGTGGCTTTGAGTTGCTTTCACCAGAAAAAAATTGGAGATTAAATATGGAAAACTAATGATTAAAAAAACAAACCTTGATAGCATAATTGTTTAGATATCACACAACAAGGTATTTACTATTATTTATCCACTATTGTCCTGGCTAATCACTCTCCACATTCCCCCTGACAGTCAGAATTCAGTAACAGCACCAAAGGCTTTGGGATCTCCAAATAAGCAGAAAATAGAGAAAACAGGTATATTAAAAGCAAAGCATTAGTAAAATACAAATAGTGATATTCAAAAATGAGCATTTAAATTAATTAAATAGAGACACATATTTCCATTCACAAAAATCCTCTCAAAATATCATTTAAGTAACTTTTAGTCTCCAGAGATACTTTATGATGCTCTTCACAAGGAATTTGAGTTAAATTCACTGAATACATAAATAAAAGCAGACTTTTCAGACTTCCAATTAGCTCTTTAACATTTCACTGATGAAGAATGTCATCAGTTCTAAGAATTGTCATGTAGTTTAAAACTTTTTTAAATTATGTAAAATTCTCAACCACCTGTCCATCCTCAATGACATCAGCTTGTAATTTGACTACACATATTCTCCACTTCATGGATCACAGCCTTCATGGTGAAGGGGCTTGCATAGGTCAGTGAAGCTATGAGTCATGTCAGGCAGGGCCACCCAAGACAGATGGGTCATAGTGAAGAGTTCTGATAAAACATGGTCCACTGGAGGAGGAAATGGCAACCCACTCAAATATTCTTGCCACGAGAGCCCTATGAACAGCACGACCAAGTAAAAACATATGACACTGGAAGATGAGTCCCCCAGGTAGGAAGATGTCCAATATGCTAATGGGGAAGAGTGGAGGGCAATTACTAATAGCTCCAGAAAGTATGAAGTGGTTAGGCCAAAGCAGAAACGATGCTCAGCTGTGATGTGTCTGGTGATGAAAGTAAAGTCCGATACTGTAAAGAACAATATTGCATAGGAACCTGGAATGTTAGGTCCATGAATTAAGGTAAATTGTATGTGATCAACAGGAGATGGCAAGACTGAACATTGATATTTTAGGAATCAGTGAACTAAATTGGATGTAAACAGGTGAATTTAATTCAGATGACCACTATATATAGTACTGTGGGTAAGAATAGAAGAAATGGAGTAGCTCTCATGGTCAGTCATAGAGCTGGAAATGCAGTACTCAGTCCAACCTCAAAAATGACACAATACTCTCAGTTCATTTCCTAAGCAAATCATTCACCATCACAGTAATCCAAATCTATGCCCCAACCACTGATGCCCAAGAAGTTGAAGTTTACTGCTTTTATGAAAACCTACAAGACCTTCTAGGACTAAACCCCCCCCCCAAAAAAAAGGATGTCCTTTTCACCACTGGAGACTGGAAATGCAAAAGTACAAAGTCAAGAGCTAACTGGAGTATCTGTTATACTAGAGTAACAGACAAGTTTGTCCTTGGAGTACAAAAGGAAGCAAACTGAAGGTTAACAGAGTTTTGTCAAGAGAAAATGCTGATCATAGCAAACACCTTTTTTCAAAAAAAAATCCAAGAGATGTCTTTACTCATGGACATCACCAGATGATCAATACCAAAATCAGATTGATTATGTTCTTTGCAGTCAAAGATGGAGAAGCTCTATACGGTCAGCAAAAATAGGACCTGGAACTGACTGTGGCTCAGATCATGAGCTCCTTATTGCAAAATTCAGCCTTAAATTGAAGAAAATAGGGAAAACCACTAGGCCATTCAAGTATGACCTAAATCAAATTCCTTATGATTATACAGTGGAGGCAACAAATAGATTCAAGGGTTTGTAACATTGTACAAGAGGCAGTCACCAAAATCATCCCAAAGAAAAAGAAATGCAAGAAGGCAAAGCAGTTGTCTGAGGAGACTACAGATAGCTGAGGAAAGAGGAGAAGTAAAAGACAAGGAAAAAAGGGAAAGAATACTCAACTGAATGCTTGGTCCATCACCCAGTTTTAAAAAATCAGTCCTTGGTACAAACTTACAGAGTTTGAAATATACTTAAAACAGTGAAAATAATTGAATAAATAAAACCCATGCTGCTAGTACAAATGAAATTATACTCACTGCTCTGCACATACTTTTTACTGGAAAATCTACATGGAGCTTTTTCAGTATCAGGACAGGTCGAACTAACCCATTCAGTTAAAATTATATGCAGTGTTAATGAATACATCATAACTGTGGACATTAGTTTCTGTTATAAGCTAGTGGAAATACTATAACAATGGCACTTTATGTATGCACTTCTTGCCATAATTTGTTATTTTACCAAAAAATATGTATAAAGGAAATGTATTCAAGTTGGTAGGTCATATATTGCTAAATGGTGTTCAAAATTTTTCAGGGGTTTACATTTTTGTTATAAATGAATTGAGTTTCCTTTTTTCTCCAACCTACTATCATATAGCAATTTCTAAAATTGTGTGTAATGTAGAAAGTGCTAGTTCACTCTTATATGAATTCACAATTTTTTGAATATGTGTTCTTTTCCCAGTTTTCTGGTTAATGGCTTATGTTTCTTATTGATTTTTGTATGAAAATCTAGTCAATTAATTTCAAGTTTAAAGATTTATGTGTATAACTATCATGTAATGTACACATATATTTGTATCCAAAATACATGCTACTGCTAAGTCACTTCAGTTGTGTCCAACTCTGCGACCCCATAGATGGCAGCCCACCAGACTCCCGTCCCTGGGATTCTCCAGGCAAGAACACTGGAGTGGGTTGCCATTTCCTTCTCCAATACCCAAAATACATAGAATTTTATTTAAAATTAACATTTTAGTAAATGAGTATACATTTTAATTTACTTGTAATTATTTTATATCCTTTCCAGGTTCACTATCTTTAACTATATGGAAAATTTTAATGAAGACACAGGCTGCAAAGACGCTACTTCTAAAGTTTTTGGAAGCAGTGTTTGCAATCATTAATCCAACATTTCTGGGATGATAAATGAATCAAAATGAACAATTCTAACTTGCTGAGCAACAGTAATTTCAAAATTTAACACTGTCACAATCATACAGTTTCTGGTGTTTCTTCTGTTTTGTTCTGGTGTTTCTTGTTTCTGGTGTCTTTGACTTATGCTCATGTGTTAGGACTTTGTCCATGCATTCCCATCTCCAAGTTCAAATTAATGCTATGATTATTTTGCTCAATTAATAATTCTTGACTTTTGAATTTATTAATACTTAAAAATGTTCCAGATCTAAAGAAGATTGTATTAAGCTATCATAAATCACCAAGAAATAAATAAACAGACAATAAACTTGGATGACTCTTCTGCTGTTATCCTATGTAACCCAATATCATAAAATTTAGAACAATATGTCTTGCTGATTTATAACCAAAGTCTAGAACATTTTAAACTGAAATACTGACAAAGTTTTAAAACTCACAAAACAGAGCTGACAAATAGAATATAGAATTAATTTGTTAGGATTTTGTGTGTGTGTTTTCACTAATGACAAGTTTACAGTAATTAGTCAATTTTCCCTTCCTTTGGTCCACACTTGATAATAAATCCTTACGGATCAAAGTTGTCAAGATTGCTCTCTGAGCAGACAGATGACACTGGCTAGGTAGTGGTGACTTTTAGAGCATGAAGCTTTCATTAAAAGTTTTCCAGGACTTCCCTTGTGGTACAGTGGATAGGATTCCACTTGCCAAGACAGGGGACACGGGTTTGATCCCTAGTCCGGGAAGATTTCCCATGCTGTGAAGCAACGGAGTCCATATACTACAGCTACTGAGCACATGCTCTAGAGTCCCTATGCTGCAACCACTGAAGCCCGCATGCCCTGGAGCCAGCAAGTTGCAGCTCCTGAAGCTGTGTGCCTAGAGATTGTGCTCTGCGACAAGAGCAGCCACCACAATGAGAAGCCCGTGCACTGCAACTGGAGAAAGTCTGTAACAGCCACGAAGACCCAGTACAGCCAAAACAAATACGTGAATTAAGCAAATAAATAAATAAAACTGTATGTGCCTGTCAACAACAACAAAAAACCTTTTAAAAAGTATATTAAAAAATTAATGAATATGTCATTTAAAAAAAATGTTTTCCAATGATAGAGACAGAGTGAAGAAACAATGTAGGTTGGTTTTGGGAGGCTCCAGGGAGCTCCGGTTCTTTATGTCTCAGTGCAGAAGAACTCAACCAGAGGCAAAGTGATACATAAGAAGCAGTTTATTAGAATAGGAAACCTGTGAGGCCTGCCAGCTTGTGGGCAAGGGGTTGCTACTCCTCAAGAACTTAGTGGGCGACAGATTTATAATCAAAGCAAATTGGGGAGGAGAAGACCACCTTCTTCTTGAGTAAACATCAGCAGTTCCTCCTCCACACCTGGTGGGGGAGTTTCCTTGCCCCTCTGTGGTCAAGCCAGGACTGTCATGGGGCAGTGGAAATGAGCAAAAGGTGGCTATGAGGCAGAAGAGAGATGGGCCCAGGTTGAGGAGTTTCTCCCTTGTGGACAGAAACTGCAGAATAGCAGAAACTCCATAAAAGCAGCATGATGGAGGAGGCTGGGCCTTGCACAGATAAGAGATTTAAAAAACCACATATTCCTCATTCTCAAAGTCAAGGAGACCTTCCCAACATACATATGAGCAGAAACGCTCCTTGGAGGTCAGAAAGGGAAAGGGTGTCATCTCATAGTAAGTGATGTCAACCTACTCATAGGTCTCTTCACTAGAATCCATTTTGGCTAAGAGATGAGACAAACCAAATATAGACTTAGAACCAGACAAGCAAGGTGATTCATCAAAGGAAACCTGGAAGAAATGCCCGATGAAAGTCATTCAAACTACTATGAGGGCACTACTCTCTGAGTCTGTCTCTGAGTACTGTATGCTTTTTTTCCTCCTAATAAATACTCTCTTTAGGAAAATTAGAGATACCAAGGGAATATTTCATGCAAAGATGGGTTCAATAAAGGACAGAAATGGTATGAACTTAACAGAAGCAAAAGATATTAAGAAGAGGTGGCAAGAATACACAGAAGAACTGTATAAAAAAAGGTCTTCATGACCCAGATAATCACAATGGTGTGATCACTCACCTAGAGCCAGACATCCTGGAATATGAAGTCAAGTGGGCCTTAGGAAGCATCACTACGAACAAAGCTAGTGGAGGTGATGGAATTCCAGTTGAGCTATTTCAAATCCTAAAAGGTGATGCTGTTAAAGTGATGCACTCAATATGCCAACAAATTTGGAAAGCGCAACAGTGGCCACAGGACTGGAAAAGGTCAGTTTTCATTCCAATCCCAAAGAAAGTCCATGCCAAGGAATGCTCAAATTACCACACAATTGCACTCATCTCACATGCTAGTAAAGTAATGCTCAAAATTCTCCAAGCCAGGCTTCAACAGTACATGAACTGTGAACTTCCAGATATTCAAGCTGGATTTAGAAAAGGCAGAGGAACCAGAGATCAAATTGCCAACATCTGCTGGATCATCAAAAAAACAAGAGAGTTCCAGAAAAACATCTATTTCTGCTTTATTGACTATGCCAAAGCCTTTGACTGTGTGGATCACAATAAACTGTGGAAAATTCTTAGAGAGATGGGAATACCAGACCACCTGACCTGCCTCTTGAGAATCTGTATGCAGGTCAAGAAGCAACAGTCAGAACTGGACATGGAACAACAGACTGGTTTCAGATAGGAAAAGGAGTACGTCAAAGCTGTATATTGTCACCCTGCTTATTTAACTTATATGCAGAGTACATCATGAGAAATGTTGGGCTGGAAGAAACACAAGCTGGAATCAAGATTGCCAGGAGAAATATCAATAACCTCAGATATGCAGATGACACCACCCTTCTGGCAGAAAGTGAAGAGGAACTAAAAAGCCTCTTGATGAAAGTGAAAGAGGAGAGTGAAAAAAATTGGCTTAAAGCTCAACATTCAGAAAACTAAGATCATGGTATCTGGTCCCATCAATTCATGGCAAATAGATGGAGAAACAGTGGAAGCAGTGAGAGACTTTATTTTGGGGTGCTCCAAAATCACTGCAGATGGTGATTGCAGCCATGAAATTAAAAGACACTTACTCCTTGGAAGGAAAGTTATGACCAACCTAGACAGCATATTAAAAAGCAGAGGCATTACTTGGCCAACAAATAATCTGGTCAAGACTATGGTTTTTCCAGTAGTTGTATATGGGTGTGAGAGTTGGACTATAAAGAAAGCTAAGTGCCGAAGAATTGATTCTTTTGAACTATGGTGTTGGAGAAGACTCTTGAGAGTCCCCTGGACTGCAAGGAGATCCAACCAGTCCGTCCTAAAGGAGATCAGTCCTGGGTGTTCATTGGAACGACTGATGCTGAAGCTGAAACTCCAATACTTTGGCCACCTGATGAGAAGAACTGACTCATTTGAAAAGACCCTGATGCTGGGAAAGATTGAAGGTGAGAGAAGGGGATGACAGAGGATGAGATGGTTGGATGGCTTCACCGACTCAATGGACAGGGGTTTGGGTGGACTCCGGGAGTTGGTGATGGACAGGGAGGCCTGGCGTTCTACAGTCCATGGGGTCACAAAGAGTGGGACACGACTGAGTGACTGAACTGAACTGAACTGAATAAATACTCTACTTGTTTTACTAGTTTTCATCTTTGTGGAAATTCTTTTTCTGCAGAGCCAAAGAGCCAGCGTCTTGTCGCTGATCACCAGTTTAGTGGCTGGGATTCAGCGCTCTCCTTGCCACCACTCGACCTCAATCTCCAGTGGGGAACTGAAGCCCCATTTCAAGCCCCTGCAGGCTGAAGCCACCAATATCAGTAACATATACTAAAAATGGTAAATCATCTCAGGTTTTAGTATAATGCCAATGCTTTTTCTTATATTTTTTGCTTTAAGTGCATATAAAGGAGCATGTCCTAGAACTTATTAACTTATAGAGCTCTCTGGGCAGGATATGGGTCTCAGACCACCATTGTTTGAGTGTCTGGGGGCATGTCTCATGAAGCCATTGAATGGTTTTGTTGCTAAGCACGTCTGCTCGGCTTTGTGTCTAAGCAAACCTGCTGTCTTGAGTGATCATTAACTTAACGGAAGTCTCCCACACTTTTTCTTAAATTAGAATCCCCTAGTGTGATTAACTATTTAAGAACTTTTCTCTATTCCTTTGAGCATGCCTGTGTACTAAGTCGCTTCAGTCATGGCCGACTCTTTGTGATCTTATGGACTGTAGCCTCTCCAGGCTCGTCAATCCGCGGGATTCTCCAGGCAAGAATACTGCAGTCCCATTGCCATGTCCTTCTCCAGGGGATCTTCCCTATCCAGAGATCAAACCCACGTCTCTTCTGTCTCCTGTATTGACAGGCAGGTGCTTTACCACTAGTGCCACTGGGAAGCCCTCTTTGTTTCTTTACTCCGTCCCCATCATCGGGACTCATCTGTAGACTAAATCCACCCCACTAACTGTTGGAAAAAGAAATTTGATAAATTCATTTGAATAATATGGGCATTGGAGTAAAGAGGTAGTTTAAATCTCAGCTCTATCATTTTCCAGGGTGAACTTGGGCAATTTTCCTAATTTCCTCTGTGCCTCAGTTTAGTTATTGTTAAAACAAGATTATAAAACCTACTTGCAGAGTTATTTTCTAAAGTCAATAAAAACATAAAGTGACTAGGGCTCTTCCCAATGTGTAGTAGGCATCCACAAAAAATAGCAATTGTTGCAATAACTGTGCTCAAAGATCAGTGACATGTACTGTATTGTTGGAGCAGTAAAAACATCTTTGATGAGCTGAGACCATGACTTAAGTTTTGACTGAATCCAAAACCACGCAGAGCATTTCCTAACAGAGGCAGTGCAGTAAACACTCTGCCAAGATCTTCTACCCCAAAAGATGTGAAATAACTATCCATTTATGAAATGTCTATGCAAAACCAAACCCTCAATATTGCCTGAAGACAGACAGTGTTAAAAAGACAAAATCAT